AGGTAAAAAATTGTTAACAACTTTCGTTTTTAAAAACGCGACTTTCAGAAAGTGCAAAAGTTAGATTAAATAAACAATACGTATCAAATTTAGCTTTAATTACAGATTTACGTAAACATTTTATTAGTAAAAAGTCAGTGCCTGCTTTATCTACTAAATTAAATATTTTAAACAAAATGGAAAATCCATTGAACAGTTTGGTAGGGTGCTAGAAGAAATGTTTGTCAATCTCACAATAGCTCAAGCTGATGGGGACGAAAATTCACTAAAAGTTCTTAAATCAGTAAATGAAAAAATTGCAATAAATTCTTTCAGTAATGGTTTAGAAAACAGTGAACTAAGAACTATAATAAAAGCGCGAAATTATTCATCATTGCCCGAGGCTATTCAAGGAGCCAAAGATGAAATGTTACCGAATGCAAGGGAAGTTTTTCAGATAAGACGAGGTACTAATAATAACACATATCATAATTTTGGAGCGAAACCTAGAACACATTTTAATAACAACAATTTTAGAGATAATAATCATAATTACAGAGTGAATAATCGACAGTCTAATTTTCGCTCTCAGAATTATTTTAAAAATAATAATAGAAATTACTACAATAGACAGCCTCACTCTAAGTATAATAATGGAAAAGAATATTCAAATAGAGGAAAATTTAATAAATCAGGCTATAGGAATAATACAAGAGTAAATTATATTAGTAACAGTAACAGTACCGATACAAATAACTATGCTAGTAACAGTAGGGACACAAATAATTTCGATAATGGTCAAATCGACGTCAAATAATTGGTTTTTTCGAGACCAAAGAGAAAACAAATGTTAAAAATACAGTTTTAAATATTAATTCATTAAATTTTATATATGTTTCTTATAGAAATACTACGTTAAAAATGTTACTTGATACTGGAGCATCAGTTAGTATTATATTTACCGAATGTTTGAAATCAGATGAGTTTATAGATTATTCAAAGAAAATTAATATTAATGGAATATCAGGATCCACAGTAACAACAGGTGTGGTAAACCTGACCTTACAACTAGAAAATAGTAATGTTGGTCATGAATTTTTGCTGATTAATAGTTTTGATAACGAAGTACATGGCATAATAGGATCCGATTTTTTTACGAAACATGCCGCAACTATTAATTATGAGACATTTGTATTTTCTTTTAATCATAATCACAATAAAATTTCATTAAAAATGCAATCTAAACAGGTTATTTATAACACAATTATTCCACCACGGTGTGAAATAATAAAATATTATAAAATGCGTAATTTTACCTAGTAAAATATGTGAAGGTGTATTTATTGCAAGCAGTGTGGTAAAACCAGATAAAAATAATAGGATTCCTGTTAAAATTTTAAATGTTAGAGAAAAGGAAGTTAATATAAAAAATTTTGAACCAGTAGTTGAAGCACTTTATAATTATGATATTGTTGGTGATCAAGAAAAAAAAATGTATCAGTTAGTCGTACAGAAAAATTACTTAATTTAATTCATATGGAGCATTTACATACCGAAGAAAAAGACGCGTTGCAAAAAATTTGTGCAAAGTATTCAGATGTTTTTTTATTAGATAGCGACCCATTGTCAGTAACAAATATTTATAAACAAAAAATTCACTTGAAAAAGTCAGTTAAACCTGTTTATGTAAAACAGTATCGATTACCACATGCGCAAAAAGAGGATTTAAATAGGGAAATTGATAATCTTTTACGTGAAAAAATTATTGAAGAAACTACATCAGAATGGTCTAGACCATTAATTTTAATTCCAAAAAAGGCAGACTTGAACGGAAATAAACGGTTTAGGGTTTGTATAGACTATAGATTAGTTAATAAAGAAATACAAGATGACAAATTTCCTCTTCCTTGCATAACAGATATCTTAGATTCCTTATCAGGGGCGATGTATTTTTCACATCTTGATTTGTCACAAGGATATTTTCAAATTGAGCTTGATGAATCAAGTAGGCCTATAACTAGTTTTACAACAGAAAGGGGTCAATTTAGGATGACAAGATTGCCTATGGGAATCAAAATAAGTCCTTCTGCTTTCTCTAGAGCCATGAGTATCGCGATGTCAGGCTTAAATTACACAAAATGCTTAGTTTATCTTGATGATATATGTGTATTCACGAATAATTTATCAAATCACAATCAAAATTTAATAAAAGTATTACAGCGGTTGCGAGAAGTCAATTTGAAACTTAATCCTAATAAATGCGAATTTTTAATGAAAGAAATGTTGTATTTAGGGCATGTTATCTCAGCAAAAGGAGTATCTCCAGATCCTAGAAGATTAAAGTATTGCAAAACTATCCCATCCCAAAAGATGCTGTAGAAACTAAGAGGTTTGTTGCATTTGCTAACTACTATAGAAAATATATTCAAAACTTTTCACATATAGCTAATCCTTTAAATAAACTCACAAGAAAAGGAGTATCTTTTATGTGGACTCCAGAATGTCAAAAATCATTTGAAACCCTAAAAGAAGCGTTAATATCCCCACCAATTTTGTAATATCCCGATTTTTCTCCAAGTAATACATTTATTTTAAAAACAGACGCTTCAGGTAAAGCAATTGGATCTATTCTTTGTAATGGTAATGAGGTATACCATAACGTAGGGATGTCCGATATACATCGATGCATCGAAAACATCGATATTTTCTTTTCGATACATCGACTTTACCCGATGCATCGAAAACTTTTGATGTTTCTCGATGCATCGATGTATTTTTATCGATGTATCGAATTTTTTTCCCTGTAGATGTACGTACTTATTCTATTCTTTCTGTAAAAATAATAGCTAATAAGTGTCAATACAATGCAGTCTATCAAATCAAATATGCAAATTAATATCAAATATGTGGCAACAATGCAAATAAATACTACATTTAAAAACGACAAAAATCAAATGTCAAGTCAAAAGCAACTTGTGAACATCGAACATTGTATATGTCACGTATGGTTATTTTTGTATCTATGCAACCTTTTAGTTTTAGAACATTTATTTTTGTTTTTATTTTTTTATTTTTTATTTTTTTATATATTACTAAGCTTATGTTTAAAAATAAATATTACTAAGCTTATCTTTCTTTTTCATTTTATTATTTATTTAATATTATTATAAAAAAGATGGTCGTTAAATCTAAAGGCTGTATGTCACGATACTAAATTAAGTACTAAATTTAGTACTAAATTAAGTTATTAATTTAGTACTAAATTTAGAACTAAAAATATTTTTTTTCCGTTTGCAACGATACCAATTTTTAGTACTAAAAAACCACGAAAAAAAAACACAATAAAACCTACAAAATCAAACAAGCGAACTTTATTCAAGGCGATAATGTAAAATTGTCGCTAATTAAAAATAAAAGGGTACAGAAAATACCGTCGTGTCAATTTTTTCTATGAAAAACTTCTGCGCAATATTTCGGCGCACTTTTAGTACTAAATTTAGTAGAAAATAGAAAAAGATCTAATTAATTAATGACTTTTTTTTAGTACTAAATTTGCTGTTTGCAACTTGAATTTTTTTAATACTTAAAAAATGCATTAATTTAGTTCTAAATTTAGTATCGTGACATACAGCCTTAATATATTCCAGTATTTTATAAGTACGATGCATCGAAAACATCGATGTTTTGTATTCGATATATCGAAATGCATCGATGCATTTTGCCGATGCACCACATCGAAAAAAACATCGATGTTTAAATTTGGTGGACATCCCTACCATAACGTAATATAAAGTTTTCTACAAAAGCTTTTACAACTGTTACTGCTTCTTTGTTAGGTAATGCATACCCCTCTACATATTTACTTAAATCACAATGCACCGTTAAGATGTATCGGTTATTTTCATAATCAGTTTCAAACGGACCAACTAAATCTAAATGAACTTTTTCAAATGATGAGGTTGCTGTAGTTGTGATTGTCATGGGTTCTTTTGCTAAAATAGAATGCTTAAATCTTTGACAATCATCATCATTTCATAGATGTACAATATTTTAACAATATTATTCTGTTCTAGACTGTGGAAGCAAAATTTGCAAATGCTGGAAAAAAAATATTGGCTGTATCGGTTCCTGCACCTGTATGGCACAGAAAAATTGCAGAAATAGTTTGACCACAGCCACTAATGTTTTGGAAAATGTTAATTCGTGTGGTGAATCTGATTTTATTTTCCTTAAAAAATACAAAAAATCATGAAGTAATTAATACACCCTATTATTCATAGCGGATAAATCAATAATCCCTGTATAAAATAATATAAGAGAGTCAAACGGATTGCATACATTTCAGCACTAAGAGAGACGCATAGAGAGTCGAGAGGCTCTGCCTTCAATGTTTGCTTTCTAGTAAAACCATGACATCACTAATTGCTTATTGCTATATTTTTGTTAAATTAAAAGCAAAAAATATGGGGAAAACACTGTTACCTTGTCAATACATAGGCGAAACTTTTATGAAGAATAGTTTTTTTTTTCATTTAGGCCTTCGTTTTTCGTCAAATGAGAGGTATATTTCTAAAAGAAGATTTTTTATACAAATTTGTGGACGGTTGAAACCGAGATATTGACGTTTAAATTTTTTTTTGACCATAGGGTCTAATGCAAATGATTTTTTTTTACATAATTATAAAAAAATACTTTATATACTACAAAGACTTAATTGTACATTAGAACAAAAAATAAGCATTTTTTTCTTCTATATGGTAGTATCAATAACTCGATTTTTTATGATAGTGCCCTTTTGTCCTGTCTAATTTTGTATTACCTCCGGAATAAGGGTTAGCTTATCATGTACTTTCATCCCTGAAAAATTCAGCTTGTGACACCGAAGTGGGAGGCAAAGTCAAAATAAGTTTTAATCTACACCATACTAACTGTAAACATAACACTTGTCCTATATCAATATTCCATATTATGTTAAAATATAATATAAATTAAAAACTAATTATTAAAATAAATTCACTTACAGTCTTCAGTAAAATCTATTGGCACTGCAGTTTTTCTAAGTTTATTTTTTAATTTACCACAGAACATTGAAGGTGTAAAATGTCTGTTACATAGATGAACATTTTTGTGTAGAGTTATAGGTGATAAAGGATCTATTTTAGCCAATTTCAAAGCTCGTTTCCAGTCATTGCATCTACAAAAGACATAGTCTCAAACCAGTTGCCAATTTTTTATTTATTGCTTATTGAATATAAGTTTTTTTTTACCATTTTTTAAAGTGAATTTACCTTTTAGGATCTAGTGGAAAACTATAAAACTTGAGCTCCGGATGTGTATTTAGATTACTGTTACAAGATATGCATTTGTAATTTTTTTTCCAACATTTCATAACTGCAAAAAAATGTAATGAATTTATACAATTTGAATCTATAGGTTCTAAGGTTTTATACCAAAATTATTACCATCTTCAATGTTTTGTGTTTCCTTATTTGATAAAACATTGTTAAGCATGGAACCTCCTGTATTATTTTTACTAACAATTAGTATAGTTTGTCTATCAATTTTATTTGGATTTTTGTTCAAGTTTATTTCCTGCACATTTTCCTTTTCAACACTTGAAGAGGCATCCTTATTTCCAAAATTTATCTTATTATCTTCATCATCATCATCATCAATTGTAATTATTTCATTCTTTATATTTAAATTCTTATTTTTTATTTCAAGGCTGTACTCGGAACTTTTAGACGGTTTAGCAGGTTGTACCATTACCTTACCCAGAGCAATGCACAAAAGTATTTGCGTGGTTTCTATCTGTTGCTTATACATATAAAAATCGTATAGTTTATTAGCACAAGTATTGCATATTTTGGATGGGAAACCATCATTTTCCTGTACCTAAAAGGAGAATAAAAAAGCATTAGAATTCTTAGATTGGCATCTGCTGCATTTCTACTTGACCAAGGATTAATAGTATTGCTTTATTTCAATTTTCTACAAACAAAAATGATATTACTTCCTAAAAAAAAAAAAGAAATAAACGAATAGTAGGAAACACTTTTCAAAAGGTATAAAATCCTGTTTTTAGAAATGGTGAGGCCAACTAGTTTCAAGTTTTTATCATTTCATTATAATCTGATTATTTATTAGCTAATCATATTAGGTGGTGAAATAATGCTTGCATTTTACAACGTAAAATATATAATATTGGGAATATCAAGCTTTTGGTTATCAGTACACATGTAATATACCTTTTTTAACGGCTTTTTCGGTATTTGTTAATGGGTTCTTGTCTTACCGAAATATTTTTCTAGGATTTATTAAAATGTATACTTACTTTAACAACAGATAACGCAGAAATTAAATCTATGTACTTTTTTCCATTTTTTGCCAGTGTTCCAACGAAAATATTGGATGTACAATTTTCTTTAAGACACAAACGACAAACTTGATCAAGTGCATCTGGAAAAATCGTTATAATAATAATAAATCTTTATTTGTCCTTTTAGATCATAGTACATGATATAGGATAATAAGTCAGGTATATAAATAAAACTATAACTAAAATAAATCAGGTATAAACAACATAGCATTATTGAGGTAGGTACTCATCTATACTGTACACACAAGTATCTATTAAATAGTTTTTTAATTTTGTTTTTAAGGGGGATGGGTGGCTCAGTGGTAGAGTCTCTGCCTGCGGATCCAAGGGTCCCAGGTTCGAATCCCACCGTTGGCCGGGATTTTTTTAATTTAATTTAACTATTTAAAATTAATTCTGATGCCTTGGTAGGATTCCCCACTCGACCATTCACTGTTTAGTCCATTTAAAACAAGTATTAGAAATTAAAAATTTCAAAAAACCGACTTCAAAAACGTGCAGATGCCATCACATCTTAACCAAATTTATATGAGGCCACCCCTGAGGTACCCCATTACTAACAAAAAAAGAATCCTATAAATCGGACAAGGTGGTAAAGCATTATCGCTAAACATACATAAAAAATGAAGAGTTTGAGGATTTTTTCATGGACCCAATTATTAGATTTTGACCAAATTTATATGGGACCACCCCTGAAGTAGCCCCTTTCTAACAAAAAAAGAATTATTGAAATCGGACACCGTGTTAAAGAATTATCGGTGAACATACATAAAAAATATATCTCGACAAATTGAGAACCTCCTTCTTTTTTGAAGTCGGTCAATAACGGTTAAAGGTCGAGAAACGCCGCACTTGACGGGACCACTTGTCTCTTACGTATTTTGGGGCGCTGATTACGAAAATGAGGGTTAAAACTGGCAGCAATGGTTGGAGAACACCCCTAAAATTGCAAAAAAACACCCCTATATAGGGGCGTTTTTCGACTGTACTTGTTGTTTTGCAAACTAACTCATCTCATATGTTTTTTGGGGCGCTGATTACGAAAATCGGGGTGTCGAGACTGGAAAATTTGTGTGACACCTTCCACATGCCAGAAACACCTCTCCCAAGGGGTGAATTTTTGGAAAAAGTAACCAGCCACGGTGTTTCGCGAACTAAGTCATCTTATATGTTTTTTGGATCGCTGTCCAGCACACTACAAATTAATTTTAATTTTTGAACAAAAAGTATCAAGATCTTTCTGATACTCCTGTTCAGTTTAAATATGCCGCGTTCGAAAGACTAGGAGACTCCAGAGGTCGTGTGAATACAAGGTCGTGGATTCTCTCTCTATATTCACATCTATATTTCGTATATTCTAGCATCAATGTTTGCTTCCTACTTCCCGCTCGTTCTGTTTCAACATATAAGATGACTTAGTTTGCGTTTTTCGTGGCATCGTGGCGCGTAGGAAGCATATTGTTATAATGTAAAAAACAACAACAAAATTTTGAAAATTTATTTAGGTTATTTTGTTTATTATAGTTTGAATATTCGGTAAAAAATTTAAAATTATGTATAGCATTTTAAATTTTAAGGTATATTATTTAATTCAAGAAAATTAGAATTTTCGTCAATTTCGGATTTTAAAAAAATTCATAACAATTAAAGGGTTAAAGATACGATGATGGGCGTAAGGACTTTTTTTATTCGAAATATCCTAAAGAATATAAAAAAAATTAGTTCATTGTAAAAAATGCATTTTTTCTGGCTTAATAAATTTTTTGTTGTTTAAACAATAACATCAACAAATATCGAGTGTCATCTTACACTTTTATAATCAGGAAAGCCTTCCGGACATTTTAAAAAAAATTACGAATTAAAACAATTTTGCAAACGAATGCGCCACTATGCCCTGCACTAATAACGAAATAAATCCTAAATTTATAAGAGTTGACAATAAAAATCAAAAACTTATCTATCAGTGATAATAAAAGACCAGTTTTTATAGAAAAACCAAAACAAACAAAAACTGAAAGTGTGAGTATACCTGTTGGAGATAAACATTTAATACCAAACAACAACACAAGCGATTATATGAATGCCCCTGTACAGGATTACTCATTCCTCCAAAGGAAACAAGTTGCATTAGAACTAATGAAAATTCAAACCCTACAAAAACCTAATGAAATAATAAATCTAGCAGATGATACCAATGAGGGGAGTCATGAGAATGATTATATCACAGTAACAAGACGACAAAAAAGAAAAACAAAACAATTATGGGAAGTGGAGAAGGTGATGATGAATTTAAAGGAAGGGAAAAATCAAACAAAAAAATTTGGCTCTTTGTATCTAGAGTTTCAGACACTGTAAATGAAGAGAATGTTAAGAAATACATTCATAAATGCACAAACGCAGAAGACATTTATGTGAATAAACTAGACAGAATAATTAAGCTTTTCTAGCGGGAATAGATCCTCATTTTCAGGAGCAAATATATAAATCAGATTTTTGGCTGAAAAATATAATTTATTCCCGATTCAACTTTAAACAAGGTTTTGCCAATAAATGCTTTTATCTAAAATTTAATTTTACAGACATAAAATGTAAGTATTCTATGTGTTACTGAACATTGACTTGATTCTAACAATTTACAAGCTACCTCAATTGACGATTTTAAGCTAGTATCATATTTTTCACGGATAAATAAAGAAAAAGGTGGTGCTAGTATATTTATGAAAACAAGTATTGCTGCAAATTTTGAATCAATTAATTTACATAAATGCTGTATAGAAGGTGAAGTTGAAGTATGTGGTGTAAAAATAAAGATCGATTCTAAACTTTTTTAATTTATTATTACTGTGTATAAGCCACCTTGTACTAAGTTTAGCACTTTTATAAATCAGCTAGAGCTAGTAATTCATAACATTTATCAAAACGACAATCACTATTTTTTCTGTGGTGATATTAACGTAGATTTTTTTGATTGAAGGTAATCAAAAAACTGTTTTAATTGACTTATTGAAGGAATTTAATATTAAACATCATATAAATGTTGTAACGAGAACAACAAGTACCACCTCAACTTGTTTAGATAATTTTTTTACCAATTTTGATGTAGATAAAGTGGGTATATATGATAATTTTTTGTCTGATCATAACTACTAATTGTGTTCGATTAATTACCTAATTTTGAAAATAACTAATTTAAATACAGATATAAACGAGATTTAAGTGATCCTAACGCAATAACTTTTATAAATATTTTATCAGTTGAAAATTGGCGTGAAGTATACACATCTACTAATTTTAATGATAAATTTTCTATCTTTTATTAATCATTCCTATACCACTACAATATTGTATTTACGAAAATAAAGAAAGCGATAAAACCACAAAAATTTAAAAATCAGTTTCCACCTCATATTAAAGAATTACATAATATATTATGTGAAATGAACAGGTTAAAGAAAGAAATAAATTCTACATATTATACAGAACGTTACAATAATTAAAAAAAAAGTATCAAAAAATAACAAAACAATATTTGAGAAGAAAAAATAATGATCGTATTTTAAAAATAACGTAATGAAAGAATCCTGGAATATAATAAACGAGAGTAGGGGAAAAAGAAAAAACAACTTATTGAATCCTATTAAACTTACAAATGATGACAAATTAACAACCTTACAAAAAGTAAATTATATTAATGACTATTTTATTAATGTTAATAAAAATAATATTGTACCTGTAACCTACCGCACCAGGTACCTTAATAATTTGTTAATTTCATTTATTAAATACAATATTACATTCTTATTAAATTCAAAATTCTTCATTTAACGAAAAATCTCCCAGATAATTAAATCTTATTTACGACACCTAATAAATAATAGCTATAACCACGTCCGTAAAGATCTAAAATATATCCACGTCTCCCTGAGAACCAGCCCAAAGAAAACACCATAAAGCGTATTTCTGTTTACGAAGTAATTATCATTAAAATACTTAACTAGCTTATTTTTCTAGTTTCGATGTTAAGACCGATATCGACAATATTTCCATACACAAAGCTTTCAAGGCAAGTAATAAATAACCCACCCCCTTTTGCACCTACATTCGTATTTTCTATGAGAAACAAAACGATAGAGACGTCACAGAAACGATTAAACTGTGTATAAAAAGTCTGACGAAAATGAGCTCGGATTCATTCAATTTTTATCATTTGATGTGCAAGCATACATTTTATTATCTGTACCCAGTTATATAGTCTGTACCTTTCCTAAACGCTCCTCCTAAACGACGTCTATCCTACAATACCTCCTATCCCCGACGGTGTCAACGTCTCGACGCCCAACGTCCTGCCGTCCTACTCCCTACGTATCGAACGACGCTCAACGTCCCACGCCTTATTTCCGACGCTTGCCGTCCCCAAATATTTCTTTCATAATATCACGTCCCGCACCACCTACATAATTCTACTGTATTAAATACCTTCCTGTCCACCACGACGCTAGGCTCCTCGACGCTAGGCGTCTCGACGCGAGGCGTCGCTCAATGCTGCCAAGTACCTAAATAGACGCCGTCACAACGCTAGATGAAATTAGTACATAATCTAATGTCTGTATTTTCAGTGGTGAGTCAAAAGATTTACGTATCTTTCTTTGAGATACCACCCCGGTTTCGTTTAAGAGCAGGTTTGACATTTGCTGTAAAATATTATTAATAAACCACATGGCCTTCAGGTCATACACCCAGAAATATACAGGGTTGTATTAAGTTATTTCAATAGAAATTATGATAATTAATATTAAAACATATACAGGGTTGTATTAAGTCATATCAATAGAAATTATAAAAATCAATATTTTAGAAATATACAGGGTTGTGCTATCTTGGATAAATTGTACAAACCAAGATGGTAAAATTTAATAGTAAGTTAACCAACTGGCGAGAACGCTGTTCGTTAGCTCAAGGGGGGACACCTATACGCTAAGCAACCCGTTCTACAAGGTTTGAAACAAAGTTTATGTGAAATCAACATAGTAAGGTAATCAACTGGCGAATTGGCGCTGTTTGTTACTTCCGTTGGTCATCACCTCTATGCTCATCGTAATATTTACCTAAGAGGGTGCAACCTGTATATATCTACAATAGAATCAAATCAACATCAACTCAATAGTTAACCAACTGGCGAATTGACGCTGTTCGTTAACTCCGTTGGTCATCAACCTAAATAAAATATATATTGATAGCAAATGAATATGGTATGCGTTTGAACGGGACTCAAGTGAGATCTCAGTAAATAGTAACAATTGTAATATACTTTGCTAATTATTGCATCAAATTTAAGTATGACAAATATAAAAAGAGTTTAAATCTGAATTTGTATGTTTTATTTATCAATTTGCACCAAACTTTGCATCGAATTCTGGTTTACCTTAATTAACATTATCACAACGTGGGTACACAAATTATCAATCAATTAACTAGACGATCACTTTTACTACTAGAGGGAAAAAGGCCAATTACAGTAAGTATAGAATTTAAAGTAAAACTTGTGAGGTAATTAATAACATTTCAAAGAGAGTAAAGTAAAACACAAGAAGAACAAATCAAAAGAAAAGGGGGCCCGGGGGGTGGCCGTCACATACCTAACTATACTATGAGTATTGATAAACATTATAAAAGTTTTTTTCTTTTTCCAACAACTCCTAGTGAAATCATCACAATAATCAAAAAAACTACTTTTAAACCCACTGAAGGTACTGACGAAATAAAGGGTAAAATTATGTTATCAGTTGCTCATTGTATTGCTGAACCCATATTACATTTGATTAATGAATCCTTTGTATCGGGATTATTCCCAAATATGAAGGAATCTAAAGGAACTCCTGTTTATAAAAATAAGGGATCTGCATCTAATATAGAAAATTATTATTTAATCTGTATATCTAGTCAAATAACTAAAATATTTTACTCTATTAGACTCACTAATTACCTTGAAAGTTTTAATATGTTGCCAGACAGGGGGGATATCGCGCATGGTGTCATGGCGGCACTGACGTAATGCGTAGAGTTAATAGAGCTGGCGCGAAATAAATATCATATGAAAGACGCATGTTGCAGTAGTTTGTGAGTCATTTATAGTGATTTATAAGATATTAGACAGATATTTGTATTATATTATGTTGTAAACTTTGTTCTCTGTGAGTGGTTTTAGTGAAAAATATTGAAAAATTTCGGTACGGATGTAACAGTAACAATTAAAGGAAATGATTCAAGGAAGATATTATGGTTTTCCCCATTACTCGATAGTAAGAGCTTAGTCAGAAGTAAGAAGTGGCCCAAGGGCGGCTCCAGCGGAGGCCCAGGGGAGCATGCCGTTCCCTACATTAAAATTCTTAAAATTCATGAGCCTTTTATTAAAAAAAAATATGTTTAATAGGCAATTCTACCATCCTTCCCAAGAAAATTCGACATGGAGCAGCCCTTGCAGTGGCTTGTGGCCCTGCAGATAAATTTTCATATGTATTTCAAGCATTTTCGACCTTCCAATTATAAGAGAGATCTTAAATCAGAACTTCACATAATGTGAAGTTGTGAATGAACCAATGTGAATCACATCTTGGAACTTCTAAACTGGAGACTCTACCCTTTGAAGGCTAAAAATTTCGCAATATAAGCAAAAATAAAATTGTAAATGTCACAAAAAAAAAGAAAATTTCGACTTGATTTAAAAAAACTGTCAGCGACTAGGTCCAGGAAAAATGCAGCGACATTTTATTTTATTTTTGTATTGCAACAGTTATTTGTATTTAGTACATTTTTTTATGTTTTGCATTATATTATATGAATTTCTGCATTATATTATATAAAAAAAAAATTTAAACTTATTTTTATTCAATTTGGTCAAATAATGCAGGTAAATGAGTTGCAAATCCTAATCAGGTAAACATTTTCGACATATCCAGATGTGAAATTGTTACCAGGATCCCCATTTTCGAGTTGCGAAGATACCCTTTATTTTATTATCCTGGTTATAAAAACTATTCTTTAGAAGTCGAATTGGTATAAACAAAATAAATCATTAAAAAAAAAAAAGAAAAAACTGTTCAAAAAAATATTTCTTTTATGTATGTATTTGCATTTATGTTCCTTCATAGTTCTTTCCTTAAATGTCCCATAATAATATCCATAGATATTTCATGTAATTTCTAAAATATCCTTAATATTCAACAAATTTCTATAAGTTAGCATATATTTTCCTCACACTGCGTTAGTATTTTTAAATTCGCGCCTATACAAACTCTACGCGTGACGCCATGCGCGTGGCTGTCCTATTTTTGACACTGTTGATATCCTATACCATGGTTGCCAGATACTCAAAATGGATTTAGAAAAAATAAGTCAACATCTACTGCAATTGCAGCTTGCCTAGAGTTTATATAACAAGCACTCAATGATAAAAAAACATATTTTGGGACTCTTCTATGATCTTAGCCGTGCATTTGATATGGTTGATCATAATCTTTTATTATTGAAGTTGAAAGGGTTAGGAATACGAGGGAAACCTTATGAATGGATACAGTCTTACTAAATAAATCGAACTCAAGTAATTGTAACAAATAGTCTAAAATCTGACCCTCTTCCATATACAATAGGAGTTTCCCAAGGTTAAATTTTGGGCTCACTTCTTTTTATAGTTTTTATAAGTGATATAAGTAATTTTTGTTTAAGGTCTCAACAAATAGTTCAATATGCTGATGATACCAATATTGTAATGGCAGATGATCAAATTGAACAGGTCACTCAAAGTAGCAACAAGGCATCTTGTGAGTTTAACCAGTATTGTAAAGATAACGGTCTGGCATTAAATGTAACAAAAACAAACTTCATGCAATTTCTAACCAAAAAACATATTACCAGATTACTAACCCTACTTGCATGTTGATGGTAAAACTATTCAAAGCATTGATGACATAACATTTTTAGGAATAATATTAGATCCCAAATTAAATTGGGAAGCTCATATAAAAATGGTAACTTTAAAATTAAGTACTTGTTGTTATATCATCAAAAATTTAAGGGAGACACTATCTTTTGATACTATGCAATTTTGGTTTGGTTCATTCAACTCTACAATATGGGTTAATATTTTGGGGTTCTTCACCATACTTTGAAAGAGCTTTTGTATCTCAAAAGAAGGTTCTGAGAGCCATGTATAAGGTGACACCAACAACATCATGTAAAGAACTTTTCAAGAAAACGAAAATTTTAACACTACCTTCCCTTTTTATTTTTCAACTAATTTTATACATAAAAGATTATGAGCATATATTTAAGAAAAATAAAGACCTGCACTCATATGATACTAGTTTAAAATTTAACATCCATCAACCTTTTTCACTACAAATAAGCCAGCATTCACCAAAATATATTGGGATTAAGTGGTACAATAAGTTCAGTAACATATTAGAAGATATTACAGATTATCATTAAATTAGTCGTAATGATTTAAGAAAACATCTTAATGATTTTCTTGTAAATAATGTATTTTATAGTATAGAAGATTTTTTGAACTTTTAAACTAATCTTAACATGAATTGTCTATTATATTATATATTTTATTTTTTAATGTAGTTTACTTAACACTTTTTTGACTAGTCTGATAGAATTTTACATTATGTACCTAGTCTTTGTATAGTGTATAATTCTCAAAGATGAATAAATTCTATTTCTAATCGAGAAATTTGGTAAAATTTAAAAAAAATCAAATTTTTAAAAAAATTGTTCAAATAGGATATCTCATAAAATTGATTTTAAAATATTCTCGAAATTTAGATGCAACAAAAATAGCTGATTATTATCAAGGTCATGGTATATTACTCTTGACTACTCTAAGATAGCTAAGATTATATTTACCTGGTGATATTAAATAGTTTTGAAGCCTTTGGGTCTCAGTTACTTCTGAGGCAACTTCAACTGCACCTGAAAAAATAAAAATTATATTGCAAGCAATAAATTTTACATAGTTGTGAATAAATATTTATTGTAAATAGGGCCAAGCTTTTCACCTCTGAGTAAAGTTACATGTAGGTTTACTCTGCTATTTTGAAATACTTAACCTCACATTGCATACTCAAATTAAATTTCGGTCTATGCCTTCATCCTATACAAAATTAGAATACTTCAACTTACCTCCAGAATGTTCGAGATTCAAAAAATTGCTGTAACTATGTTCCTGTACCACACTACTTGATGAACCTTCCAAGCATGGAAACAAAGTTGGTACTGCCTGTGCTAATAAGCGGTTTCTAGTTTCATTAAATGTAAACATTTTTTTCTCAAAGTGAGCTCCACACAGTCGATGAGAAATATGTAGTGTTGCTCTACTCGAAATTAGATCCTCTCTTCCTGCCGCTATGGCCCATCTTTCAGCTCTACAAATAAAAAGTAGTAGGTTTAACATTTTTACAATATGTAAGAGTAAATTATTTATTAACAGTCAACAAGGTTAAGAGCCACATTCACAAACTTAGATGAATGTGAACACTATAAATTAGTTTAGAAAATAGCTCTGGTATACTAGTAAATTTCAGTACCTTAGGCTACAAGTATCTAACACGAAAAATATGAATCTAAATGTTCTTACCTTGACTCATCTGATGGAAAGCGAAAAAAACCGTAGCTACAATTTGAATACGCATTTTTACAGTTCTTAGCTGCACAGATTGACCTGCCTTTCTTATATATATCCATGTTTACTTTCACAGCAAACCTTTTTATTTTTCTATGCAGCAAACCAAACAGACCACCGACCTTGATAATGCCGCGTTTGAATCACCGACCTTGATATTAAACTGGGTGGGCTATGACATAAACCCTACTCCTCATTTTTAAGCCGATAAGGGTGAAAAAACGGTCGGTGCGCATGACAATTTGAACGCCAAACTGTCAATTTCGAGCATTCTACGTCACGTTTCCCACGGGCGTACTACGACAAATTATATTATTTTTTATTAATAACGCGCTATTTTAATAATTATTATTATTATTATTAGAACATTTGTTTCAGCTGCGTATTAATCAAAAACACATACTGTGATTTTCTATTACTATACGGAGAATGGTCGCACTGCGCAGCTTTCTGAGTGCCTTTTAAAAGGAGATAGAAAACTCCGCCATTTTGATCCCTTATTACGTGTTGCCTACATCTTGGCGCAATATTATTAATAGGTGCGTTTTAATCATCCGCTTCTGTTTCGGAATTGTCGGTTTTCTTGTTTTAATCTGACAGGTTAAAACGACTAAACCGACATGCAATTCCGGAAGCAGAAGCGGATGATTAAAACGCACCTGATATTTTGCTTGCTGCTGTCAGTGTCAGTGAATATTATTTTTGAAGTCACAGTTTATTGCTAAAGAATCAGTTAGCTCACTCGGACCAGTTGAAAAGTTTCTAAATAACATCCACTCCAGGGGGTCGATTCTCGACTCGTAGGAATATTTTCCTATAGGAATTTTTGACATTTTTACATACATCGAAAATTTATGACATATTCCTACATATAGGAAAGTGTCACAAATTCCTATAGGAAAAGGTTCCTACAAGTCGAGAATTGACCCCCAGGGATACAAATTCAGAATACGCAGAAGACTGCTGTTTTATTATAGGCGGTTGTCATATATTGTATTATCCGAGTTGCGCAGTGTATAAACTAGAACATTGAGATGAAAAGTGCCGACGCAGAGTGAGCGATCTGATTCTTGAGCTATAAACTGTGGCCACAGCTTATACAATAGTCCGCCATATGGCAATGACCAATTCAACTACAATACCTTTTAATTTAAGCAAATCACTTAAAAATGATTTTTGAAATACGCAGCTAAAACAAATGTTCCAATAATAATAATTATTAAAATAGTGCGTTATTAATAAAAAAATATAACTTATCGTAGTACGCCCGTGGGAAACGTGACATATCGTCGTTGTCGCGGTGAAACCTCTTATGTATATTTTATTAAAATTTTCGGTAGACCAATTTTATTCTGATGCCTTATATGTATTACGTTCAAGGAATGTTTCAGTTTTGATTTAAAATCACAATATTTTAAAAGAAAATTACATGGGAGGTTTCGCTAAACTGTAGAGAATGGTATTTTCTATGAAATGGCACAAAAATCTGAATATGTGATAAAATGTCACATAGGAGGTTTCACTGCGGCAACGACGATATGCTCGAAATTGACAGTCTGGCGTCCTAATTGTCATGCGCACCAACCATTTTTTTTTACCCATGTCCGCTTAGAAATTATGAGTAGGGTTTATGTCATTAAGGACCGATTCCACCGAATTTTTTAACCGACTATGGTCATTGGTGAATAACGCCCACAAAGTCATCCCTTCAACAAATAAAAATGAACAGTAAACGAATTTCACTGATCCGAGTTTTAAATAACTAGTACCTGTCAACAATGGCTGCGTTCAGTAGACACCGACCTTGATAAATGCTGCGTTTGAGAATCCACATCGGATGCATTTTTTACATCTCGAGCGGTTTTTTATCCACATCGGACACATCTGTCCCATTACATTTACGTATACTGAATCACGTGAACAAAGATTTACTACATCTCGGATGCATCCGATGTGGATGCTCAAACGGGGCAATAAACTGGATGGTTATATGACATAAAACCTACTCCTAATTTCTAACGCCCGTATGCACCGTACACGTTTAATCCAGATTACACATAGTTTCTTGCTCAAAACGCAAAAAACAACTGTTGCAAATTAAAGCTATATCAAGCTAGCGTTTTTTGTAGCTTTTTTGTTACACTATTTGCAAATTTGTTGCTTAGCCCAGGTCCGAAAAAATAGCGGATCCGCTAGCTTGAATTTCCATAAATTCCATAGTAGCGGCACAGATTCAGACCCAGCTGGTTTTTTGTAACTTTTTTGTTACGCTAGTCTCCCTTTTGTAGCTTGCACTGAACCTGAAAAAAGGGCGGATCCGCTAGCTTAGCGGATATTTGTAGCGGCACCAGCCCGGACCCGGCTCATTTTTTGTAACTTTTTTGTAGTTTTTTTGTTACGCCTGTCTCGATTTCGTTGCGAGGCCTGAACGTGAGTAATAATCGTTTCTTCATGAGCGAGAGAGAAAAGTGCGTTAATTTAAAATCAAGTTTCGGCCACTACAAGTAGTGATATGTGCAACTCGATAGTGCGACTATCTGTTGCTAGATGGCACCAGTATTGTATTTCACGAATTATGGCCATTTTCCATTCAATATATTTTTGAGACATTTAGATATAGTCTCAAAATCGCACATTTGTTTTTAAATGTTTTTTTAGTGTTGTTTATGTATTTATACTTTTGTTGTATGGTGCCGCCACAGAGTGCCCGCTAGCTTGATATAGCCGCAAATTTATCTGAAACAGATCCCGATCAGATTTTTTTTGCTGAACGTAGCCAATAAAACTCAGTTACCGATAACACCGGTGATTTTCATAAGTATCCGGTATTGATAATCAACAACCACCTCTACAAGAGATTTTAAAATTTAAACTGTTGACAGTGTTGACACTTGACAACAGTTTCAATTTTAAATTTTGTTTGTTGTGTACCGGATACTAATAGTGTAAGTTCAAATTTAAATAATTGGCGATGATTTGGTGAATAATTTAAGATTTATTGCAGATTATTTCATAGTTTATAAAACAACCATGAATTCCATTATCGCTAATTTTTATCAGTTTGGACAAAAACGTGACCAGAAATCACTAGAAAAATTAATGAATAGTTTGGAGGAAGGTGAATTATTGAATATAGTTAAACAAGAATTGTGTTCATCAAAATTCACAGAGACGTGGAGTTATATCCTAAAGTCATTTTCTGATGCACCAGAGAATCATAAAAAGAGATTAAAGTTAGTTATTCAACTTCTCAAGGAATTTGAAGAACGAGATATACCCCAATCAAGAATAGATACAATAATTAATCATTTAAATCTCGAGTTACCAAAATTCAAATCTAGTGACTTAGCGAAAATATGTAGTACATGCTTGGACCAGATTCAATCAAAAGTGGTGATTAAATTTGTTTGGAAAGATCTTTTACCAGAAGTACTCAATGTTCTCATCGATAGAGATACTTTTACATACGAAGAGTTAGATTTTACTGGTGCAGAATACAAGAGCGATTTTATTAATACTATTTGCATGTCTTCTTGGTCTCCAAGGATTGTAACTTCTCTAACAACATTCTTTATTGATACTCCTTTAAATAAAGATGAACACTTGAAAGTTGTAACTAAACTAGGTACTTATATTGAAAAATTAACTCCCCAAGAAATTCCATCTTTTGTTTATCAATTATTACGTCTGTGCAAACAACAAAATGGCAGGTTAATTTTTATGAAACTCCAGAATTACTTTGGCACACGCATTTACAATAATGCTAATATTGGTACCGAAGATTCACCAGATACTAATAGTACTGTTTTGGACCTAATAGAAACAACTGATAACTCTGATAGTATTGAAGCTGAAAGTAATGTGTTGTTCCATATCCATACAGCAGCCTCACTAGGGTATGAGAGCATCAAAGAATATCTAAATTCTTTAAAGAATATTTTAAAAGCTCCAGAATTTATTTTACATCCTTTCCAATTAATGGTTCTATTCACCTTATCGACGATACCTCATTATGATGAAACAGTTTTTGATATTATTAGACCTTGCATAGTAAGAACTTACAATGAAGAACTAAAAAAGGCACATTCTTCTTGGTTTAGAGAAATGGTGCCAACAGCAAAGAAACCTGAGGAAATAATATCACAAGTTATACATTTCAGTTTGCCAGATAGAGATTTGGTTCTATCAGGATTAGTTAATTTTGCGTTTGTTCTTTTGGGAGTTGGAGCAGGTTTGGGTAGGGATATAATAGCTGAAAAGCAATGGACTTTAGGAAATACAATTCTATTGAAGATTATTAAAAGAAAGAGACAGATAGCCTTAACTATTCTAAACACTTTAAGTAACCATATAGTTGCAAGACAAGCAGTATCTCAGTACATTGAATGTCTTTATCTAATAAGCAGAACTATGCCTTTACTAATGCTTGAAAACCAGAGCTGTATAATGGAGTTAATAGAGTGCCTTGTACACATTAACACTACCACTGCAAATCAATTACTTGATGCATTGATACCTCTTACAAAAGTCTCTCTAAATATAAGGGACCATCTTATAATTTACTTAAGAAAAACCCTATATTCCAGATCAGTTGAAACCAGACAAATGTCAGTTAATGGATTTTTAAAACTAATAACAAACTTAAAGATATCCAACATGGCTGTTCTTAGCCAAAATAGTATGGGGTCCTTTTCATCAGGACATTCAGTTTTTACACAGCTTTCTTTAAACAAAACCACACAGAACACCTCTATCGGTAATTTCAGTAATGAAGCATTATGTTTTGAAATATTAAGTATACTTAAAAGATGTTTTATGCAACAAGCAGATGTTAGATCACAATTATACGAAGGTCTATATGAAGCAGTTTGTGTTAACCCCGAATTAGGCATTCCTGTTTTGGATATGATACAGTTTCATTTTAATCAGTACATTGTAACGGACGATGAGTCCTTACCACCAATTAATATTGATAAATTAGTTGCTTTAAAAGAAACTCAAATGATTCTAGAAGAACCATTAGGGAAGTTAATACACACAGTTGGCTTAATCTCTTTAAAGGTAACAGAACAAGAAGAAGTTGAAGACAATAATACTGTTACAAAATTTACAGACATTCTAAATTCTCTCTCGAAAAGAATGTCCAACTGTGAACTCGTCCACTTTGATCTAGATGATGGTACAGATTTATTAGATATTATTCCAGAATCTCAGAAAAAGATTCTTATACTAAAAGAAGTAATGTGTGTTTATGAAGCATTAATAGGTTATAATATATATTCATGGAACAATAATTCCCAAAAACAAGGAAATATAATTAACAACCTATTTCAAGGCTATACTAGATTGCTTCATTTTTCTAAATCACTTTCAAAACCAAAAAAAGCTGAGTCAAAAAGAAAGAAAACTGATCAAGATAAAACCACCCAACATTCTCAAAAGGATGGAAAGAAATTGAACAAGAATATTAAAATGCCAGATACTATTTGGAATTTCCAAACAGCCAAAAAGGCTTTACAATTATTACACGAACCTAAATTAACCTGGACAACTACTTCAGAGGCAAACGTAGTAAAAACTAATAAAGAACTGCATCAACATGTCATACATGCAACCCTGTATTTGGTACAAAGTGTTAAACGCCGAAAAGACTTGGAAACTAGAAATAAAAAGCAGTACTTTGAACACATTACTGATGTAGCATCACTTCTTTTTAAAAGAATTATAAATAGACTTGACGAATTTACAGATTTTGATGGAGTGACTGCAGTATCTGCAATGGAATGTTTTAATTTAATTTTAACGTTAGTAAATATTCAGTACAAAAGTAATTTGAAATTATTTTTAAACAAAGTTGTTTCTGGTATTGAAGATAATAATGCTATAATAGATTCTTTGAGTACAATAGTTAAAACCTATGAGAATATTTTCGAAAATGAAGATTATGAAATTAGTGTCGATCTTGAAATTAAAAAAATATCATTGATAGCTGTAACTACATTACAAAACCTAGTAAATCACACTCCAACTTCTGCTAATGATCTCTCAACCCAACTTTTAGAATGGTTAAAAAATTTTGCTTCCAATAATACTCTTACATCAAAAAATTCCACTGCCTTCATGCATCTGTTTTTAGAAACTCATATGAAGTTTAAAGCCAGTTTAACACTTCTTGAAAATTTGTCAGAGAGTTTAGGAGATACAATTGGCGTTATAACAGAGGAAGAACATACAAAAGAAAGTTTTAAGATCATCAATGAAGCAACAGTACATAATATCTTTCTGTCAATATGTAACAGTTTAAAATCAATACTAGAAGATATTGATGCTGTTGTAATTCGTTTGAAATCGGAAAACTATATTCTTAACTTTCCTGGCGAAGACGACTCTGAGAAAAGAAGAGAAAATTTGAAAGCAAAAGAAAGAGGAGTGTGTTGTCAATTATGCTTCATAGTAACTATTATGACCAACCTGAGTAATTTAATAATACCAGCAGGCAATCTTTCCGAAGCTATTTTTAAGAACATCATGTCATTATTTGGAAGTCTATGTACTTTAACGAAATATTTCATCAGCAGATCTTCTAAGACGAGTTTGGTATTTCAAGGAGCCCGGTTTGAAAGATTGGTTAAATTAGCTGGGAAACAGTTGGCACCTGTTATTTATAAGTTTATTCTGCACCTAGAAGAGACTCAAAGAGATTCTCAAACAACACAACCTAAAAAGAAATCAGTTGATGCTACTACATTAAAATCAAAGGTACTCAGAGAAACGAGGTTAATACCAAAAGTGATTTATGAAATTGAACAGTTTAGTAAATGCATCATACAGCTATCTAATAAAACTAAAGTAGATTTATCTAAATATGTTGGTCAAGGTATAGTTCGCGATTTCAGAATAATACATTTAAAAGAGACTTTGGATAACGAAGGGGGAGAAGTTGATGATTCTCATGTAAGTGAAACTTCTAATAATGAATCTAGGAGTGAATCTATTGTAGATATAAACGAAACTGATGTTAATCCTAGAAGTCAAGAAACAAGTGATGAGGATGAAAATCCACCTGCTAAAAAGAGCAAACGTTAAATTTTATAAATTAAAAATATTTTTGTACCCAATTTGTTTCTAGTTCTTTGTTTCAATAAATTGTGTTCAATAGTTATAAGATTAAATATTTATTTAGCTAAAGGATACATTTATTATCATTTTCAATTTAATTTAAAAAAATTTATTTTAAAATCAATTATATAAGAATGAAAAAAACTTAAATTATTGAAAAAGTAAAAAATTAATGTAAAAAATAATATTAGTACGACTCAATTTAAAGGTATTATTTGCGAGATTAAAAATTATTATAACTATCTGATATTACATTGATTATACCATAATTATCCATAAATACATTAATTTTTATTTTTTTAAAGATATCTATGCAGTCCGAATTTTAAAATCATGAAACACTATTGCTGCGTTTGAGAATCCACATCGGATGCATCTGAGATGTAAAAAATCTTTGATCACGTGATTCAGTATACGTAAATGTAATGGGACAGATGTGTCCGATGTGGATAAAAAAACGCTCGAGATGTAAAAAATGCATCCGATGTGGATTCTCAAACGCGGCATATGTAAGTATTCAATTTTTAAAATTGCAATGGAAAGATGAGTTCCAAAATATATCACATTGGGGTCTATTCTGTAACAATTCCTTTATATTTAACGGCCTTTAAAAATATTGTTACAGAATAGAGCCCATAGTCTCATTTAAAAAAAGGTCGTTAACGTCATTACTAATATATTTATCACCCTGTATATATAACTTGCTCAAAATGTGGAAAATTTATATTAAAAAGCGATCTGTTTTAGAAATTTTCTTAAAAATAGATATTTTGGCCAAAAATTAATTTACTCAATACTTTACGAAATCACGGTGTACAGTCCATTAACCAACACAGGCAAAATAAAGATTATGCTTTTTTATATTTGGACGTGAGCGGAATAGAGGGAATAACTTTGTTTCAATACGCCCTTTTCGATGGTGGTCCTTAGTATTATTCTATTGCTGCGTTTGAGAATCCACATCGGATGCATCTGAGATGTAAAAAATCTTTGATCACGTGATTCAGTATACTCAAATGTAATGGGACAGATGTGTCCGATGTGGATAAAAAAACGCTCGAGATGTAAAAAATGCATCCGATGTAGATTCTCAATGAAAGTAAGACAAAATTTTGTCTGATAAAAAATTGATTTGGTACCTGTCAACAATAAAACTCGGTCAGCGCCAGTGATTTTCAAATAATCGGTGAAAAGTAACCGGTGTATGTGAACCGGTGATATATCGACCACCTCTAGTGTCAAATGTCAAATTAAAGGCTGCGTGTCAAATGTGAAAGTTGTCAATTTTATTTCTATCACAGGAAAATTTTCTTGTATAGATAAATAATTATTGTGAAAAATAGAAACCTATAAATAATTGGAAATAATAAGTATATTGTTAAGTTAAAATGTTCGAAATAGAAATAGTTGGAGAAGATCAAGAAACTTTAAATATTTTACCAGAAGAACTCGATACAATTTGTCGTTTGTGTCTCAATAAAAATGGTTCAGTTTTATTATTTGAGAGGAAACGTAAAAAGAAAGTCGTAGGAAAATTCAATAAGCTACTTTCCTATTTGTCTTTACTACAAGTAAGATTTCAAATAATTATAATGCATTAATATGCATAATTGTAGGATTCCTCACTCGACCATTCACTGTTTGTTTCTAATTAATTTGCTATTCCTAAAGTGGCGTTGAGAAACAGTGACAAAGCCTACACAAAACACATTCCTATTTGTCTTCATGTGAGATTTCAAATAAACAATATTATAATGCATATGTACTTGAACTTTTACTTTTTGTTTCTAATTAACAGTGCTATTCCCAAAGTGACATTGGGAAACAGTAATGAAGCCTATACAGAACATTAATAAAGAAAAATGAAGTTGTATAATATGTAATGTGGTAAATAGAGTTGCTTGAATAAAACCATCTATTTTACTAAAAAAAGCTGCTACTTAAGAATTCACATAATATACATATATTGAGGATGCAATTAATGTACATATATTTAAGCAATCTGTACTTTCACTTTCCAAAAGTTCTGAATGAAAATTGGCAAATAAAATGGAAAATTATTTCATGGATCTTTCTACCATAAGGTCACATTAACACATCCTTATTCACCTCTGCATTGCATGACTCAAATTATTGATAACCATTCTGCAGGTACCCCTGTTGAAATTTAGAACAAAACTTTTATATTTCATACCCTATTCCAAACTTATTAAAAATAAAAATTTGATATATTAAATAGGCGGAAGGACTTTGGTCAATAGCCTATTGGACTGAATTTTCAGTTCAATAAATGACAATTATTATTATTATTATTTATTAAACAAATATAGTTTCACATATTATTTAGTAAGAAGTCTTCTTCAGCCATCTTTTCAGAGACCGCTGTTGGCCAGTCAAATATACTGTAAAATTCTTTGTTTTACTGGGAAATATACTGGATTAAGGATTTCAAATTGTAAACTTTTTATATTGATGGGGACTTTGACAGTATAGGCTTTATATGCCTCTTTATTTGCCTTGGACCTGACAGGCTTTGCTATTGAAAAAATTACTAAATGAGCCCATCTATATAATGTTTACACCACAAACCACATTAAAAAATTCGCTACTGATTCAATAAATAATGCCAATCTACTATATGTTTTTTTTTTGTATATTTCAAAAGAAACTAAATTATAGTAAATTGTATTAGAACTATTTAAAGCCAATTGATTTATAAATATTAAGCCATAGAAAATGTATAAGATGTTAACCTAATGGTTTGAGTATTGAATTCTTGTTCGAAAGGTCTGGGTGAGGACAATGTTTTTTTTATTTTTTACATTAGTAAAAATCATAAATCCAAATAAATGTTTGTGTTATTTATCTTTAAAATAGGGTCATGGCACTACTTATGGCCACCTTAAGGCAAAAATGCTTTTGTGGGGTCTATTTTTCAATAATATTGTAACAGAAAAAAATAAATAAAAGTATCATTTGATAGGTTAAAGTATGTGGTTTTCAATAATATATGTATCTATTTTGTTAAGAGCATGTAATTCTTTTTTACATTATTTTCATAAAAGTGGAAAAAATTCTTTACTTTTGGCCATCAGTCCACCACTAGATCTTTACTTATGGCCACTAATTTTTAAGTTGCATTTTTAAATATTAATTTAAGTGCATGTTTATATTTTAATTTACATGTATGTACTTATCAATGATTTAGAATAGGGTACCCAAAATTAAAAAGTTTGTTCTACTAGAGAATGCTCAGTTAACATTCCTAAAACTTCAGATATGGGAACAGTAAAAATCTTATTTTCAATATACTGCCTTCCTATGCCAAAAAGCGGTATTTAAAAAAACAAAGCCAGTTTTTTGTTTTTTATCGAATTGGATATCTTGAAAAATACTGCATCAGTTGAACTAAGAAAAATAGCAAAATCTCAAATCAAAACATAAAAAAAAAACTAGGATAAAGGCTTAGGTGTATGCCATTATTACTAATCTAAATGACTGCATATCCATTTATGACTCTAGAATTTTAAAATTAATATTCAAAAACAAGAAATAATGAATTAAAGTAATCCAGCGGTTACTTAATTATTTTTTTCAACTCAAGATAACAATAAAATAACTTTTAGAAAATACGTATTTTCTTGAAACTACGGTTCAACTGAGATACCGCTTTTTGGCTCAGGAGAGCAGTGTATTTAAGAGTAGTTTTTTCTTTGTTTGTGCTTTTTAAGCCCGGTTTTAATGTTTTTCCTAACTGCATAATCACTGCTGGTCTTATATACGAGAAACAGCCACTGCTGTCAGATGCCAGTGATATTTCATCTTCTTAGTTAAAAAACACAATTGCTACCTTACCCCTCAACCCACATAACTGCAGTGGCCATAAGTAAAATATGAGATTTTACTTTTGGCCACTCATATGATCATAAGTAACCAATTATTAATTTTTAGTCATTACTAATGGCCACCCTGATATTAATTTTTATTTAAAAAAAATATATGATGTTGAAAACAAAATACATTTGTATTAACATCTGGAATGGCAAATGTTCAAAAATATCCTTAATAAATCTAATTTTTGTTCCGATGTTTACAGACAAATTCTTAGTCAAAACAACAAGTAATGCTTGCATGTATTACACATACTAACTATCTATTTTACTGATTTCCAATGGACTTGGTTTATTTGTTGCAAACCTGCCCAATCATGTTACCACATACTGTTTTACCTCCTCTAACCAGCATTTTTGTTTATATTGTGGCTAAACATTTATTTTTAGATCTTAAAGCAAGAAGTGGCCATTAGTAGGGCAGTGGCCATAAGTAGTGCCATGACCCTAGTTATTTTAACTTAATAAGCTCTCAATTATTTTCAAAGTTTTGTAATTATATTAAGTGGGTCGTAAAAAAAATAAATTGTATAACTTTAGTGATTTTCTGTTTCACACTCTGCCTACCACACTGTACTCAAACTTTGTCTTTATGCAATATGGTCATCATTATCTGTAAGGTGGGGAGGAAAGAGAGGGGGTGGGTTGCTCCACGGCACTTAGGTCTCATTAGGACCATTGTGCATCCTCCATGGGCATATAGGTCCTGCCTATTAACTTGTCAAAAACCTGGTGGCTATCAGTAAGAGGTGTAATCTAGAGGTAGCTTCTCAAAGATCTGCAGGTTGTCAACTCATCAAAAACCTACAGGTTATCGCTGGGGGGTTGTTTAGGGATAGCACTATTAATAGACTTGTAGAATCAGCAGTAGAGTATGTTTTTAGTTTTTTGGTTATTAGTTTTTCCAAGCTTTAATTAAAATTAATATTTGAAACTATGGGGTGGACAAAAGTAGTTTAATATTATTGTTACTATTATTACCACTATTTTCACACTGGATATTTTAACAAATTTATTTGTATCTTTACAAAATTTTAATATTTTAACAAAAATTAACAACTGGTCGAATAATCTTAATTTACACACATTTTGGTCTTGGTATAAATATTAATAAATAAATACATCTTTATTGGTCCTTTTTGATCACTGTACAATGATGTAGGATATGTCATGATACATGTAAAGGACAAATTACAATTTAAAATCTACATTTAAATATACATACATACATATATATTACGTTACCTAGTAGTAATCCTTAATATTATAAAAACATTTTGTTACTAAATTTTTTTTTTAATGTTTGTTTAAAGCTGTTAAAGGATTTTATGTTTTTAATATCATCTGGCAGTTTATTAAATAATTGAATTCCTGCATACTCAGGACTATGTTCATAGAGAGCAGATATATGCCTAATTGTACGTAACATATTGCCATTACGAGTGGGATAGTTGTGACAATCATTGTTCCTGAAAAATTTAGCTTCATTTTTTTTTGTATATAGGATTGTCTTATAAATATATATTGAGGGTAGAGTGAGTATGTGATATTTAATAAAATGATCCCTTCATGTTTGTCTTGATTTCAGATTGAAGATAAGTCTAATTGCTCTTTTTTGTGCAATAAATACTCTTGTAGCAGCAGGAGAATTTCCCCCAGAGTATAATATTGTATGATATGTGTGAATATACAATTGCATAATATACCTGAGAAGTTGGTTAAATGTAAATATCTGTTTTAATTGAAGTAGAGCATAACAACCGTTATTAACGTTTTTTACAAAAAATGTAATTAATATTTGATTCCCAGCTCATATCATTATCTAGCAGTACCCCAAAAAGTTTGTTTTCTGCGACAAATAGACATCATATATTATCATAAATTCTATTCCTTGAAAAAAACTGAAGAGAATTTAACATTAAGGCATTTTTATTGCACCAAGTTGAAAAATCTGAAGCTACTAACTGAAGCTTCTGCTGCAGCTCATCTCTGGAAGTTGCATGAGATGCTAAAGTTGTATCATCGGCATAGAGTATGGTATAATCTGCAGACACATGTTGAGAAAGATCATTTACATATAACAAAAATATTAGTGGTCCCAAAACTGAGCTTTGTGGTACTCCTCGGGTTAGACTTTTCAATTCTGATTTACAGTTACCCACTTTTACACATATCTGACGTGAATCTAAATAAGAACTTAGTCATTTTAAAATTATGCCCCTTAAACTTAATGCCTGTAATTTATTTTGAACAATGGATATGTCAATTGTGTCAAAAGCTTTGAACAAGTCAAAGAGTGCATCCACATACTGCCTCCTATCTGAAGAAAGCAGTAGTTGCACTCTCCGTTGACCTGTCTGGAAGAAAACCATGTAGATTGTTCAGTTAGGATATTAAATTTTTTTAGAAAAGAACATTTGTTGACCTACACATTTCTCAAAAACTACATATTGTAGTGGGGATTGTAATAGGTCTGTAGTTATCCGCTGACAAGAGACACCCTTTTTTAAAGATTGGTGTTGCAAGCCCAATTTTAAGAGCGGAAGATTCCGAGTAACAAGGAATTATTGATTACATAAGCTAATGAATTCGCAATGTATGGGGCAATTGTCTTAATAATTTTTGTAGAAATGCAATCAATTCCTTCTGCATTGGTATTAGAGATGCAATTGTTTCTATCA